GGGCTGTGCTCTCAAACCTTTTCCCTGCTATTTGTGGATTTAAAACTTGGTGATTAGGATGCATGCCTCCTCTCAGGCCATCAGGCAAAAATTGTACCTGACCGGCACGGAAGCTGAAGGCATTATTTTAGGGGTGGCTAACTCTCCATATGTGGGGAATTGTTTTTCCCATTAATTTCTTCAGAAAAATGAAGTCCATAAAATGTAAAATGACAGAGGAACTAAATGTCATGCAAAATAATAATGTTGCTACATTGAAGTGTATCTTTTAAAATATTCTGGTGTTTCCTCTGAAAAGCTTTATATCTCCACAGAAGGCAGCTTGCTGAAATGACTCTTAAAAATAATGGTCTGATATTCAAATGTGTCACTTTCCATGAAAGGAGCTAATGGCACAGGTCATACCCAATAAAAGATTTAGACACTCGAAGCTTGATGCTGCAACACCTGCTAGATGGCTGGTGTCCCGCTAGATGCAGAGGGAAGATTAAATGTGTCAGAATGATATCCAAGCAGGCTGCAAGGAAAGTATAAAAGGTAACAAGAAAAGGCAACACAAATATATTAAAAGAAATATGAAGAACAGAAGAGGCCCATAGCTTACTGAGACTGTGGAGAAGGCTGAAATATTCAGTGCTTTGTTTGTATCAGTCTTCAATGAGATGTTCAGAAGGACCATAAATTTGCCATATCAACTTCAACAAAGACTAATTAGTATAAATCAGAATAAGGAGAAAACTGCGTAAAGGATACTTAGATTCAAGTGAACTGAACCTGCTGATGTTCATGTATGCTCCATGGCTAAGAAGAAGTAACTTCTAGACTATTAGTAATTACACCCAAGAATTCATGGAGGACAAGAAAGTTAGCAGCAGACTAAAGAAAGAAAAACATATTCCCTTTTTTTAAGGCCAAATAATAGAGAAAAGTTCCTTTAACTTTCATTCTCAGAAATAATCTGTGATTAATTATCAAAAAGTTGAAAAAATCCATGAACATGTAAATTGTTGATCTTGTCATATCAGTAATTTTCATTTCGAATTTCTGATTTTCTTTTTTATTTAGATTTCAAAATTAAAATTTCATACTAAAGCAGTCAATCTGATAAAATTCATTGAGTTGCACTGTGCTCGTTTCAGGGCAGAGACATCAGATGCACAACGTAGAATGGGGATAGCTGTTTAGACACTGGGAGTGTCTAGATAACTGTCTATCTTGTGGGGGATAATCTCGGAATCCAAGCTAACCACGAGTCACAAAACAAATGTGTTACAAAAAGGCAAAGGTCTCATTCTGGGGACGTTATTAATAAGTGTTTTTCCCACATGTGAAGAATGTTATCATTTTGATCTGTTCTGCCTACCCCAGCTTGGTAATATCTCCAGTGTGGAGATGGCAGACAAACTTGAAAGGGTCCAGAAATCCAGAAGACAAGTGTAGAGAAATGTCATGTGTGACATAAAACTGCAGGAATCAACTTTTGATCCTGAAAAGAGAGTAAGGAGGATCCCATATAACAGGCACTGGTTCTTTCCAAACCTGTTTATGTCCTTACCCTTACCTCTGCCCTCACCTTGGTGCATCTTCAATAGGTGGGTATATCTAAGTTCCTCTTAATCACTGGATTTAAAAAAGACAGAAATAGTCCCACAATATCTAAAAATCTATTCCACAATAGAAAAGAGGAGAGAGAAAGCAAAGTTGAATGTCTGGACAGAGAGAGAGCATACAGCATGGTTTCTTCCCATATCAAACATCAGAGAATCCACATTGGCAAGGGGAAGGAGGACGAGGTTATGAATGTTTAACTGCAGAAAAAGAAGAGTAGGAATTTGTACCTTATTAAACACATGGGGAAACACTCCTCAGTCAAGGTTTTCTCTTTTGTATGAATTCCCCAGATATGAGTGTAAAGTCTAATTGAAGCTTCTCTCAGGGTAAGAGTGTTGGCAACATTATTCTTCCGTGTTGTTTTTCTTATCTAATCATCAGAGCTGTGCTTGTGCTGCAAAGGCAGTATAATTCAGTTATACATCAGTCAGCTACAATTAACCCGCTGCTCCTGCAACTATTCATTTTACCTCTGGTCTCACACTTTTTGAAGTAAATTTCAGAGCACCTAATTTTTGCAGACTTCTTTCTCTCCCCTCCTTTGGTCCCGTAACCAAGATGTTGGCCTTTTTTAAGCTTTGCCAGATTATTTGCACATAATATTTTATAATAAAAGAGGGAACTATCAAATCAGCTACATGCTGCCAACAGAGAAAAAAATATTTTAATCCACTGAAATACAGAAAGGTTACATTAATACAAGATAGTTCCTGCATATTGACCAATGAGAACAGAAGGCAGGCAAACAGCAAGGGAAAAATGTGACATTAACTTAACCTTTTTACATATTAAACTGTATTAAAATCTTTCTCTCTTTCTGCTCCAGAGTGCAGAGGATTTTATTTGAAGGACTGTATGTGCTCTAAACAGCTTTCATCAGTACTCATTTTAATGGTTATTTATCAAGGAGTGTTAAGAACTCCTCCTTCATTTGATCTAATCTAGCACTTCTTCTCTCAAAACATGCTAACAAGATCGTTTCAAATACCTTCTGCAAAACACGGTCTATCCAGGCAACATGACACAAAAAAGAGCTGTCTTTAAGCCTCTGGAAAATCTGAGTTTATTTTTATAGGATTTCCACCAGAGTTTAATTGTTTCGTGACATTTAGAAAAAGGTTTTCCCAAACTGGTTGAATTTTGTTTGTATTTGCCCTGACTAGTATCCTTGTGGGGATGCTACAAATCTATCTTCTGTCTTTGTGCTACACAATTGGTAAGAGAGATTTTTCCATTTCTGCTCTGAGTGTGTGCAGCAACTACATCCTACCAGCTGCTCCAAAGGTCAGGGTGATGTGAACAGCCCTGCATGGCCAAACCCAGGGGACATCTCTCCACGGTCCAGAGAGCACCTGCACTGTGTGTCACTGTGACCTGGATGTCATCAGAAGTGTCTAAAAATGCATACTGCATGGTGAAACCAAATTCATTCTTCCTAACAGAGAAAATCCGCTGAGGAAGAAATTTGCACTGCAAAAACAAGGCCTTTTTGCACAAAATAATCCTGATTTTTTTCCCCCACTGCTAAGCCTGCAGCATTTACAAAATGTGATAGCAAGGCTGAGAGGTTTTATTCGGATCAATGGCTTTTTAGTTAAGTGAAGTACTGGCACAGATTGCGTACAGGATCCTGGGAGAGTTCTTAAAATAGGCTGCAACATCTATTGACAAGGTATGAATTCCAATTGAGAAACACTACCATAGTGCTTTTAGTGGCATTCTTTCTTTCTCTGAACAAAAGTAGGGACTAGATAACTTCTTGACATCCCTTCCACTTTTCTTTGATGCTAGGAGTCTTGTTGACATTTCATATTATGCACAATTATTTGGTAAATACTATATTTCAAACTCAGGAAGAAAGGAAAGCCTCTGAAGGATTATGCTTTTAGTTGACAGAAATACAATAGTAGCAAAGAAAACATGCAAACCAGAAAACATTTCAATGTCCAAGGCCAGCAAAGAGCTGATTTTGTCAAGACAGGCTTGTAAGAGGAAAAGGAAGTGCCCGTCATCTTCAAATCTGTATCGTCTCCCTGAAACCCTCTCCAGGATGTGTGCAGCATTGTTATTTTAGTGTAGTGGATGCACACGGTGCGGAAGCCATAAATGCAGACCAAGGCGGCTGTGATCCCGCTGAGCAGATGTGCCCCTCTGGCACTGGTGAAGGAGTTTGCTGAACTCACTCAACTGAGACCCTCACACACCCCTCTTGGCTGCCCATCACCTGGACCAGCACCTCTGCCAGCCCCAGGAGATCAGCCGTCCTTCTGGGCTTCACCTGGGTCACCCCTGCGATGGGGCTGGGAGGCTTCTGCAGCACAGCTGCAAAACATGGGCTCCAAAGGCTGTGGGCTGCTAATACAAGGCTCACACCTCGCCTCACCGTGTTGCTCGTTTAACTCTCTCACAAAAAAAGTGGGTGGCTGTGGTACTGCAGCACCAAACCAGCTGTACGGCTGCCGGCTAGTACACGTGCCATCTGCCATGCCGACCAGGCACAGTGGAAAGCAATCGCTCCCCTATTCACGGAGAAGGTTTCCAGCATCGAAAGCTGGCTTTTCGCACAGACAGAAGAGAACTGAAACATCCCAGTGGGACGCAAAGCTGGGAGGGAGATGGGAGACGCAGACAGCAGTGCCCCATTTTATAGCTGTAGAAACAGAGGTGGAAAAATAATAACGAAGCTAACTCTGACTGGAAAGCCAGCCAGGAGATGAGTGGCAGAAATCTGTAATCAGAGCCCCGCAGTCGGCTGCTCTAACTAGGCAACTCAGCCAGGGGCTGTGCTTACTCCGAGCAAAAACTTTCTATGGGTAAATAGTTCAAAGCGTGCTCCTGTAAGAACTCCAGCAAATCTGCGTGATCTGTGCCATAGCACTAACCTTTCTTTGTTTAACAGTTTGCTTCATAACAACTCTTAATTTTGTGTGAAACTTTGCTACCAAGATTTGGATATTCAAATGATGGATCTTTGTATCTGTGCTTTGAACCTCTCTTTTCTGTATGAAAACAGCAAGTTAAATGCAGCAACAGTCTTTCTGGGCCCAAACAACACTGCAAATTAAAGGGTAACACAGATAACATTTCCAGTGATTCCAACATATCAAGCAATTCAAAAAAGCCTCTTACATGTAGAAGACATGAGGCAAGTTACAAATGTATTACACTGATTTCAGCAGAAGACGAGCAGCATTTGATATACCACATTCAGAATCCACTTTGGAGGTTATTTAATCTGCCAGTAATATCCCTCAGACAGACAGGAACAAATTTGCCTTGATGTGTCTGTCTGTCATTCAAGTAACCTGTGATCCATCGAATATGTCTCTTTCTGAAACGTTCATTTTCCTGCAATTCTGTCTGACTCAATATTCTTCTTTACCTGACAGGTAGGAGATCAAATAATTGAAATCAATGGAGAAAGCACAAGGGACATGACACATGCCAGAGCAATAGAGCTAATCAAGTCTGGTGGCAGGAGAGTGCGACTCTTGTTGAAACGTGGAACAGGCCAGGTCCCAGAATATGGTGGGTTTTCATCTTTACATTTTTCTATGTGCATGAACCTATATAAATAAATTATATTGCTTTTGGTTAAGTAGCAATTGCAGATATTTATATTGTAATGTCCTGGGGCACATTAATTATGGGCTTAAGTGCTTACCTGAGTAGAGGTGGACTTATTCACATGTTTAAGTGCTTCCTTAGCTCAAAACCATATATGTGTGTACATCACTGTCTGCTGCCTTCCCAACACAGGCAACAGCTTATAAGATGTGCATAGGAGGAAGCACTTTGAACTCTTTGGGAGACATCTCTGAGTGTGCTGGGAGTTGCTGATTTGTCCATAAACTGTCCTTTTCTTCCTCTATTGGTACTTCTCTGCACATTTTGAATCACAGCAGGTGATCTTTTTGCCATGCAATTCAGTGGCTCAGGTTTAAACTCAAAGCATTAACAAGAATGTACTTCTGTCTTTGCAACCTCGCCCACTGTGTTACCTCTGACAACATACGCAGATGATCGAGTAGAAGCAAGCTCTGAATAAAAGAGGAGACTTTGCTCATTGTGGTGAGAAAGCAGGATCCATTCTTCTCATGTTTTGTTTCAGGGGGACTTCTAGGACTTTTTTGAGTATTTAAAAAAGTATGAGTCATTTAGACAATATAGAAACCTTATTTTGGTACTGAAAGGACAAGAAGTAAAAATAAATTATCCAAAGATAATTAAAAGACAAAAAGTTCTTTTTAAAAAGTGAAATCAGGGCTTACTCTAAAGTGTAACAATATCATATATTTACCTAAGTTCTAAGGCCTGAATTCTCACAGGAAAAGAGTTTTTTAATGAAAATTCCTTGACTTCGTTATGCTAAACTCTATGAAGCTTTTCTAATGTTACTTTTGAAGTTCTAGCATCATTTCCCATTAAAACCAGAAATTGCAGTAGCATATGAAAAATTCAAAGCAATACTTAAGCTTAACTGTAGGTTCAGGTCAGTCCTTGTTACCAACATAAACTCATTACCTCTGTTGGAGACATTAAAGTCAGCTCCACTGAAAGTCAATGCTTTGCCGGCTGTCAGTATACACGGTAATTGCACCATTTTCTTCTCTAAACTAGTGTCAGTTCTGTTGCTGGGGCAATACTTAGGATTGTGCTTGTTTTGTTTTTTCCCAGCTTTCAAGAGTTTCTGAATAAGAACAGCAAAGATGGGCCATAGCCCACCCATCTGGTGATAAAGTTAGTGACTTATACTTTTGGTCAGTAGGAACGAAGCCAAAATGGCTTTCAGGATTATGATAAATTGGTACTAAGACATTTAATAACAATTTCAACCAATGTATAATCCTTTCAGGGAGACCTCCAACAGAGATTCGGACCACCTCCAAACCTCTTTTGTAGGGAGAGGTACATTTTCATGAAAAAACAAACAAATATCCAGGACTGCTATAGCAGTAGCAATCCTTCTCAAATAGCAGAACCATATACCGGCAGGTCTCTGCTTCCTCAGAAAACAATTTAATCTAAGGAGGGTCACAAGAGACTGCTATGAGCAAAGAATCGATTGCAGTCCAGAACCATTTCAAATCTGACTTTCTTAAGATCCCAGTTCTGAATGGCCCTTAAATCTAGGCTTACAGAGATCCAAAATAAAATTCTATATCTTTATGATATTATAAATCTGTACCTTATTCCAGAATCATAAGAAAATATAAATGGATTTTTTAAAAATTCAGTGTAAATAGCATTGTTTTGGGAAGTCTCCCAAAAGCTGTCAATGTGCACAAGCCCTCCCTTCCCCAGAAGAACATGAGTAGGACGTACAGATAAACCACTACAAATCCAGGCACGGTTTATAGCGCTACCAGAAAGAAACAACACAACTTCAGAGGACTGTTTAAAGCCATGCTCGCCACTAGGAAAGGCATTTGGAGTGCTAAGCATCAGTTGTGTAAAAATGCAGATTACTGTGATATACATGTTGCTGCAAAGAAGTGCTGTTTAATCAGATCGTTTTCCTAGCCATATCCCCAGCCTGCAGCTCCATACAGGAGGAGAACTAAGTAGCTGTGCTTGAAATCTGTGTTGTCCCACTGTACTGAAAAAGCAGTAAAAGTGTTCAGGAATTAATTTCTAATGTACACACATTGCATCACAGCAAAGGAAAACAGTCACATTCTGCAGTTCTTAATATGTGCACTGCACAGGCAGAGAAATGTTGGTGCTGTATCCAGTCTGCAGGCAAAATGGAAGCAAAATGAGAAGATGCCTCTTGAAATTAACTGAGATATTAAAAAGTCCTCCCTAGGTCATTACCCAAAGCAATGAGAAATACTCTAAGAACAAACAGAAGGTGCACATAAAAATCAACAACAGCCTGCTTAGGAAGTTTAAAACAGAACTTAACAAACAGAAATTATTAAAACCAGAGGGCACGTCTCGAGAAGGCCAGAATCTCAAGGGTAAGTCATAGTTTTGCAAAGAACATCTGTCGGAGTATTAATGACAGAGACCCCCAGAAAAGACTGTCCTTTCCAAGTAATGGAAAACCAAATGCAGAGAAGATTGTGACAATAAGCTCAAGAACAAAATGGTCCTGAGGGTAGTAGACAAGCTAGTCAACATTTAGTAATTCCCTCTTCTTCCCAGCAGAATTGCATGGTTGAGATGTAACAAGACTAATTGGAGCTTTTTTTACTGAAATAATCAGCCTTTTTTTTTTTTTTTTTCCAGCAAGTACATGTCAGAAATATTTCTTATTCTCATCAGGGTCCAGCTCTGGAGACCATCAATGAGAAATAAGACTTAGTTGAATATAAAAATGTAAGGCTGGAGGACTGAGCTGGTATGTGGGTTGCAACGGTGATGTGCAGCAGAAGTCTAGGGAGGAATATAAAAGCAGAGCAAGTGTACCAGGGTCCTTTCCTGGATATTCTCTCTTGGTCTCTGACAAGCAAAATGGTCAAGGACTTCCCAAGTCAGCTGTAGTAACTCTGTGTTTAAACACCTTTCCAACAGCAGTGCCATTCAGACTCAGCACTAAAAGAAGGAAGCTTGTTGTCTCTCAGTCTTCAACTTTTTTATTTTCCTTGTGCAATATAATCAATGCTTTTTAAATTCCAGAGCCACATTTCTGTTAGTACAAAATATGACGGTATATATTTAAGTGCAAGAAATATCAGTGTTTGAATGATGACGTGATTGGCATCAGTAAAAGCAGTGTTAAGGAAAAAACATCAATGGCAGGAAAGTGATCTGTGAAAGAAAAGAATATGTATTGAAAAGAAGAAAGCACTCAGTGAAGAAACTAAGAACAAGCTCCTGGGAGGACGTAAATCTCCTGAATGAGTTATGTCAGTTTATGCTGCCTGGAAATCTGTCCCTACAAGTACATCTCAGAAAATTCTGGCTGAGCTAAAGCACTATTCAAACCTAGGGGAAGAAATAAAGTGTGTTGCAAATGCATCATTTACCTCAACTCCAGCTGCTGATTTTGCTTGAAAACAAATGCCAAAGATCCCAGAGCACTTCAGAGGGAGAGATCCCCATGTAGCATGCACGGTAGCATCAGAAGATATGGGAAGGAGCAGGGGTATGATTAATGCTCCAAAACGATAGCTGATTTCACAGCAGGGTGCAACAAAGGAAGCTTAGAAAACAGATGCTTTATCACGCAGCATCTCAGAACATGTTTGCTGAGGATAAGGATAGCCAGAGGAACTGTGCTTCCACTGAAGGTGAATTATCACAGCTCATCCAAACCCAAAGAACGTCAGCATCATGTTTCATAGGAAATATTCTGCCAGCCATGTTCTCCAAAGAAGATAAATCATATTACTGTGCAAGAGACTGCTGGGAAACCTCATCCCAAAAATTACTTAATGCCCTGGGAGTCTGGCTGGAAGAGGTGTGACGTTTCGTACCTGTCACAGGACACAAAATTCATGGTCATCACTGTAGCACTGAGCACTTCTCATCCTGGCATTAAATACAATTTAAATAAAATGACAGACCAAGATTTTTCTTGCAATGGCTGCCTAATTCCCTGTGTATGTATCTACCTTAGGAGCTACTGGGTGTGAAGCACTTCTAAAAATCTGTCTGCTGACACTGTGGGAGCCTAATTACAGATGCTCCTATTTTTCAGGCCTTAGCCATAGCTGTATAAACACCATCAGAAGGACACAAACATTGCACAGCCAAGCATTGGCATGAAGCAGCATCCCCAAAGGCAAAACGTGGGAAAACTGTTCACAAAATCCCAAAATAGCAACATTAAAGATTAAGTAAAACTAACAAATCACAGCCTCTACATCCAGCAATGAGCTCTGCAAGAGGCAAGTTAATTCTAATGACGGATCGGCCCCAGGAAGCTAGAGTTTTCTCTGAGAACCACCACTATTTTCTCTAAATATCTATGGAAGACGGTCCCGTGGAAAGCCTGGGATGTTTCATTCTCAGTCCCAGCAGTCCTGGCAGCTTGCTTCTTCTGGCTTACTGCTCTTAGCATTTCCTCACGGGAGCTTTCATGACTCAAAGCTACATTAAAACATGTAAGTTCCTAGAAGTATCTGAAAGCAATGAGTCTTACGAGCAAATAATTGCAAACAGAGTGTAAAGGTGGAGGAGGCTGAGGTTAACACTTGTAGGTGGAACCCATTCCCCTGGCAAGGCACAACCTCCTTCCCCAGCTGCTTTCTGTCTGGCACTGCAGAGGGAGCAGAAACACTGAATGTCACCCGTAAGGAACATCTGGAAGAAAGTTAATTCATTTCCCTTCCCACTTTCACAGCAGGACTTCAAAATCATACTTTCTATCAAGTTTAGTAGTCTTTCACTTAGTTTTAATTTCCATAGGAGCTCCTGCAGAAAGTTGTAAGTTTTAGAGACTCCAGCCCATTCACATCGAGATTTTGGAAAACTTTTCCATTGCCCTCTCTCGGAAGTCTTGATCTGGCTCTGAGTTTGCTGGGTCATGCTGTGATGCTAATACACACAGAGCCAAGAGAACCAGAATCAGTGAGGTT